TTAGTTACACATAATCATTGAATTCGGCATAAACAAAAACATAAGAAAGAAACAATAAAACTTAGCCAATTGCGGTACTCTTCTGGCGTCTCCAATTTCTCCTAGTCTTTGCCTGTCTCCCCCAAAGGAGGTGTTTTGCATGATTAAATAAAACACCACACATCTATTCCTACCCTAGCTGGGCTTTTACAGCAGCCCAAAATAAAGAAAAACCTAATTAAAACATAAATCCAAAATGGGTAAGTAACTGACTCTTGTTCCTACTTTGACTGGGATAACACGTTAGTTAATTTGCATGCACGTTTGGGGTCGTTCCTACTCTAAGAAAATTTGGGGAAAATATGAAATTGTAGATTTTTGTCTTATCTTTCCAGCCATATATCGCACGACTTGAGGAAAAATCAGTAAAGTCTTCAAATAATTATTCTTCTACAGCAGCACAGTTTTGACGAGATTGCACTTTATGCTAACTAAACTTCAAAGAATGCTCTCATTGGCTATTTAGAAAATTCTAGAAAAATTCCACAATCATCTTCAATATCTTACCTTTCATCTCCAACTGGTCTTGTACTAAAACTCCATCAAAAAGTCGTATTTCTGTTGAAAATAAATTACTTGCTCTGGAAAGCTGAAAATTGAGAAAATAAAGTAATAAGTCCATTTTAAAATAAAATTCTCCTACAAAAAAAACTAAGTATAAAGAGTACATAAATATGTAAATTTATGGACTTATCAACACCTTTGATACAAATGTATGGTGCTCTCAAAGACAAACATCTCATACACAAGACAACTGTGATTTCTCAAGTATGAGGACCAATTTGCAATATCATAACTTAGAATTCTTCATTTGACACTTGTGAGTAAGACTTCCATACAAGAATTCTTGAGTTGATCGCGTTCAGTAAACTCCATCTCTATAGAGCACCTACACACATGTCTTTGTGTCTTTACAAGAATTACTTAAGACTAATCATCCTCCCAATTGAGCAGACATAGTGTGTACCAGTCTTTGCGGTTCACCATTGTCGAATTGGTGATCTTATGACCAGGAACCTTTTTAGGATACGATATTCTTATGATGGAAAGGTCTTGTGATTCTAACTTCTTTAGACTGCTTTCCATTTCTATCTTTATCCATGGACTTGTTACTTTGTGTACATTGTGTATCTTAAAGTAACATTCACACCGTTGATTGTATTAATTATATTATATCCTTAGAATATTCCATTTTTATATTGGCTTCTATGACATATATCTAACACCAACAACATGTAGCTCTGAGTATTATTGGTAGTTTGGTCATCCTGGGCTAGTGTACAACTGCTTGGGTGGAGGTCAAGGTAATGAAAGAATAAATTTCAAAAAATCCCATGGGAAAAATCTGATGGGTTAGGGTGGGATTTGAGAGAGGCGTGGCAATGGGTTAAGTCGTGTCGGGTTCGTATCGTGTCGAGATAATAAACGTGTCAAGAATACTTAACCCAAACCCGACCCATTTAATAAACGTTTCGTGTCAAGTTTGGGTTGTCTTAAACAAGTTATTAACCAAGTAACCTGTTTACTCATTCCTAGTTTTCAATTTAAAAAAGGGGAAACATTAAAATGAGGAAATATGAGACTACATTAGGTTAATAAATAGGTTATTTAACAATAAAAAAAGAAAAAAAGAAAAATAAAAGAAGAAAGAGATTAAAAAAAAAAAAAAAAAAAAAAAAAAAAAAATGACGCATGCTTTTTGATTCCACAATAAGAGCCTTTAGTTTGGCCCTCTGGATCTCTTCTCTTGGGTTTTCACGAACAGCTTCTTGGGGCTTATCACTTGAGCTCCCAAAGATCACACCCTTAGCTTGAGCATAACTTGTGTCTTGATCTTGATGCTTGCGTTTACCCAGTCGATCCAGGGCCTTCAGCTGCTTTTGCATGTCTTGAGAGTAAAAATCTACAATCTTTGATAGCTTTTGATTCTCTTCCTGCAATATTGCAAGTTGATGTCGATTTGCCTCCGCTATATTTGCCATCTCCCTCTTCAAACTCCTTATCACATGCTAACAATCTTCAACCAAATTTCATTCTACAACCAACTGAGCTCTTAGCACCTCTACCTCATGGGATTTCACAATGAGTCGATGCCCCACACTTGCTACAAATGCCGCACTTTGCACGCTCAATGCCATGCCATCACTCACCACTTGGTTATCATCCCTCGTTCCTAGCACACACACATCCTTGGGAGTCACCAAACTCCTTGCAACTCCAACAGTAACATTGTTCTCAAGGAGTAAAGAGTCGTTTACGATAACTGGTCCTCAAGAGGAAGCAAAGTAGGGCATCCACACTGGTGTAGCCCCTTGTCCCTATGCCTGTGTTGGTGAAGCTACGTTTACATAAAGAGAAAATTGGAATGAAGATGCCATTTTTTATCTGAGTTTGAGGAGATGGGTTTAGATTTTTCTAAGTTTGAGGAGATAAGTTTAGATGGTGGTTTAAGGAGATGAGTTTAGATTTTCCTTAAGATTTTTTAGTGTGATTTTTTTCTCCCATTGTTTCCTTTTATAGAAGTAATTTTTGGGGCCACTCCATAATAATAATATTTTTTTTAAAGTAATTTGTGGGGCCGCTCCGTAATTTCGGCTCCTTATTTCTCACTCTGTGTTTTCCACCTCAAGCTCCACGTCTTCGTGATTAGAAAAAATAATATAAAAATAATTTTTAATGTTTAATTTAATTACTATATACATAAAAAAAAAGTTAATTAGAAAAAAATAATAATAGAAGGGGAGCAAGGGGTTTCGAACCCATCACCTTTTTCTTAAAAGCCTAAGAGCTTAGCACTACTCCACAAGGGATCCTTGTATTATAAGTGTATAATTGTAATATTTATTATAGGCTAACAAAATTTAAACAGGTTCATGGGTATTTAAACGGGTTGGCGGGTTGACCCGAAACCCACCCATTTATTAAACGGGTCATAATGGGTTGACCCGAAAATTACCCAATTATTAATCGTGTGGGTTCAGATCATGTTTTTCTCTTGTAGGTTTTGAGTTGTATAATGGGTTGTATCAGAAATTGCCACCCCTAATTTAAGATAGGGTTTGGTATTTATACTTCTCACTAAAAAATCCCTCACAATTCCACATTTTAAAAAATCCTTCGAAATTAGCAAGTTTTTGAATACCATAAGACTTTTTGTTAATTGTTTAAAGTCTTGATTGAATACCACTACATTTGGCAACTCTCTTTTAAAAGTCCTAATAGTCTTAATGGAATACCATAGGACTTGTTTAGACTATTTAAAAGTCTTAATTGAATACCACATGACTTGTTTATCTCAAAATGGTCTTTTAAAATCCCAATTGAATACATAATGTAAGTATTGAAAAACTTAACCTAGATACATGCTTGGTTTAATGTAAAACTAGATGTAATGAATGATAAAGATCAATCTAATAGGAACGTTGAATACGGCTGATTTTAATGAAGTTTAATAAATTATGTGATGAATGATCTATGAACTCTTTTAATTTCTTGGACCAAAATCCTGTGTCATACGCTTCCGCAACACAAGCATTTGTCTTCAAGTTTACTCAGTCAACTTCAAGCCAAAGCAAAGTGTTGAATCCAAGAAAGCTAGTTGTCCACATTTTATCTTTTTCTTCAAGCTCACAAATAACTTCTTTGTATAGTAAGCACAAAGGTTGGTCACTTCTTCAAGTTGAAATAATTTAAAGACATTTTCATTCAAACCACTAATAGGAACAGACATGTTATTTGAAAATTTTGATTTGTTGTGAGCATTATTTTAAATCGCATTTCGAAGCGCTATGGCACGTGTTATGTGGCGAGGTGCTTATATTTCTCATCAAAGCATAATTTCGCAGAAATCCCAAATAGCTTACGATATTTGGGTAATAGAGTATCCTAAAAAGGAGGGCAATCAAGTCCTCATAAAGTGTGTATATTGGTATTAATTAAATAAGATAGTAAGAGAGCTATCACATCTCTTGATACGTGTGGGGGATGAGGGCAATAGTTATAGTGGTAGGAATACTACTAATAACAATTATGCTAATTTGGAGAATGACCATTTTCCATTATGGAAATATGTCACAAAGCTTGTGAGAGAGTGGAAAAGCCGGTGGCAATACTTCATTTCTATGCAATTGTTGTCAAATGATCATAATCTAGAGTTGAGGCTCATTTGTTGGAAATTAAAGGGTAAGGAATTGCTTGTTGCTCTAAAGTTACAAATGCTCATTTGATGGAGATAGAGAGAGTAGTAGAAGAATCGGAGTCGAGAGTGAAATGTTTTTTTACCTAGAGATGTTCCTTTACCCACCTTGAACGCTTCAAGCTGAGGCAGTTTATTTAGTGGTAGTGCTTTTTGTTTGAGTTCAATTTGATGTGACACAAGTACTAGTGACTCAAAGAAGAGGAATACAAATCATGTTGAGAAAGCTTTGAACAATAATCTTAGAGAACATACCCTCAATATTGCTTTAAAGAACATATGCTCACCATCAACAAGAAATGAAGGAGTTTATGAGCAATGTGGTTGGATTTCAACAATCTCTAGTGATGTTTTATTTATTGAAAACTTTATTATGGACCATAATATGAGGTTGTCTATGTATTATGAGCATTGTAAGTTGAAGTTTCTCTCCATTGCCAAGACACGCTTTGGTTCTACATTCAAGTTTCTGAATAATCATATCAAAAGAGCCTGGAGAGTTGCAAGTACAACCTTGTTGGTCGTCTCTTATTGCCCAATGGTATGAAACCCTTGATTACTCATGACCCTGCGCCTGTGCCTCCAAAAAGAATGGTCCTTGCAATCTTAGACTCTCATACCCATGGGCAAAGGGTTTTTTGCTTTCCAATTTAATTCCATAGATGCTTTGCAGAAAGTTTGGTTTAATGGAACGATTTCTCTCTAGCCTGGCATTTTGAGATTATATTAATGGAATCCTGATTTTTCTCCAGTGACATTCAACAGCATGATGGCTCAACTTTGGGTGAGGTTCTGCGACCTAGGTTTGCAGTTTTGGGATCCCACCACTTTGTTTGAAATTGCTAGTAATATTGGCACTCTAATTCGCATTGATCCAACCTTCCCATTGAAATTCTGGGTTAAAGGGGTAAATGAGGATTCTTTACTGATCAGTCTTGAGTACGAAAAGTTCCCTAACAAATGCTCTGGTTGAGGGTCTATCGGTCATCTTCTTCAAAATTATCTCATTCGTCATGATGAGCCTGAGCAAGCAAAAATGCATGAGAGATCACGTTCTCGACACTATTGAAAAAAAATCTACAGTTATAAGTCGCTATGTCCCCAAAAGATAAACCATCACTCTCGAATAAGCAACAATTAGGTGATATTGAAAAAGAAAAATCCATCTAGGTTTCATGGGTCGATAAAGGTAAAAGCCCCATCATCGACTCAACTCCTCCCATGTTGCCTGATCCTCGTGAGGGTCTGTCTTTTGCACAGAGTACACCCTTGTGTGATGAGCCGCCGGGTTTTGAACTGCATCAGTTAGAATCTTGTCAGAGTCCTGTGATTGCTCAAATTAAGCAACCTGTTGTGGATTCTCCTGTTGCAAGAAATACTATTCCATATTCAATTCAATATGAAGTAGATATGGTGGCTACTCAGTCATGGTTAGATGAGGAAGATGGTTTCACTCCTGTTCTCCAAAAAAAAAAAAAAAAAAAAAAAAAATGCCCCAACTCAACCAGAGGCGATTGCCACTAGATCAATTGTGGCAAAGAAAAACTCTCTATAAAAGCCCTCTACTTGAATGCCCGAGGCATAGGTAACTCTCCTACGCATTAGGTTCTAAACAGATTTGTTCGTCTCCACAAACCAGTTATGATATGCATTTCTGAACATTTTATTTCTCTTTCTGCAATTAAGTTTTCCTTTTGGCATTCATTAAATTTGTTTCTGGTTGCTACTAATGATCATGGATCTTCAAGACCAAATTTAAGGCTTTTGTGTGATCCCAATGTCTCTCCCCAGGTTATATCTGCCACTGCACAACAATTATATCGAATGAAGACAACTTTGGATTGATTTGGCTATAATGAAATCTTCTCATAGTCATTACTCTTGGGTTGCCATAGGGGATTTTAATTGCATTCTGGGAGCTTATGAAAAGAGAAGTGGTTGCTTGCCTAATTCTTTGTCTTGTTCTGAATTTCAGCTTATGTCCTCAACTTGTGAACTTATTCATTTTCCAACGCGTGGCCTACTTGGGTTCGTCGAGGAATTAGGCGTAATGTCAAAATGCGCTTGGACAAGCATCTTTTAAATGTTGTATGGATGGATGCTTGGCCTAGCACGACTTGTTGTACTCTTCCACGATCGACATCTGATCATTGTCCCCTCCTCATCACTTTTGATAGATTACAACTAATGTCATGCCCACCTTTTCATTTTCAACAAATTTGGCTGAAAGCTCCTAGTTTTTTTGCAAATGATTGAGCATTTGTGGATGAGTTTCTCTTTTGATAAGTGTCCAATGTTCGTTCTTTCATCTAAATTATGGACTCTTAAAGCTAAGCTTAAGGAGTGGAATTTGCGGGAATTTGGGGACATCAATGCTAAAGTTAATGATTCAATCAGAGCTTTGGAGTCCATTCAAACTGAAATTGTAAATTTAGGGCCTTCATATGATCGATTCCTGTGTGAAGATCAGGTGCAAACACAGCTTCACGATTCTTTTTGTGTGCAAAGGATCTTGTTGAGGGACAAATCTCAAGTGCGTTGACTTGCTGAAGGTGATAGAAACACTTCCTTTTTTCACTCTATGGTGAAATACTGGAAGCTTCATCAATCTTTATCAATTCTTAAAGATGGAGAGACTATTATGGATGATCCAAATGCAATTAGATCTCATATTGTCAATCACTTTTAGAAGATGTTCACTGTTGATGCCAAAGTGGTTAATACAAGTCTTGTCGAAAGGGATATTCCATCTTTAGTCACTACGGAGGACAACATGCTCATTTCTATTCCCTCCCAAGAGGAAATTTTTGGTGTTGTTAAATCTATGGATTCTTTGAGTCTCCAGGTCCTGATGGCTTTTGTGGGATTTTTTTCTTGCACTGTTGGAGTGTGGTTGGTCATGAAGTTGTTCAGGCAGTTCAAAGTTTTTTTCTTCAAGGACTGGTCATGCCTCATTTTAACTCTAATATTCTTATATTGATTTCGAAGGTTCCTAGTGCTGATACGGTTTCTCAGCTTCGTCCAATTGCGCTAGCTAATTTGTTTTTAAGATCATCACCAAAATTCTGGCTAACCGTGTTTGGGCCTATTGCATCGCGCATTATTTCTCATAATCAAAATGCCATTGTTAAAGGGTGCTCCATAACTAATTCTATTATACTTACTTCAGAGTACATGAATCTTTTGGATCGTAAATGCAAAGGTGGTAATGTTGCAATTAAATTTGATATTCAAAAAGCCTTTGATACTTTGGATTGGGGCTTCATTCTTCATGTTCTAACGGCCTTTGGCTTTGGTGAGATTTTTGTTTTATGGATCAAAGAATTGCTTGGCTCATCTTATCTTTCAATTCTTGTTAATGGTTCACCTTCTGGATATTTTTCTTGCTCTCAAGGTGTGCAACAAGGTGACCCTCTTTCCCCTATTCTTTTTTGTTTAGCACAAGAGGTTTTCAGTCGTGAAATTTCTTCTTTAGTAGAATTTGGAGCTTTGCTTTGGATTAATGCTCCGCGAGGTGTTATGCCTCGTAGCCATGTTCTTTTTGCAGATGATATAATGGTCTTCATTCAAAGCACTACAAAGAATCTTCGGGTTTTGATGCGGTTTATGGTTGAGTATGGATTAAACTCCGGTCAGTTTATCAATAAATCAAAATCTTTAGTCTTCTTGGGTCATTGTGTGGGTACTAGGCAAGCAAGCATTCTTCGTACTCTTGGAATTGGTGTTGGTTCTGTTCCATTCACTTACTTGAGTGTTCCCATTTTCCAAGGGTCGACCAAAGAAATAAATTTTTCAAGCTATTGTGGACCATGTTTGTTGTAAACTTTCTACTTGGAAGGGTTCTCTTCTTTCTTAAGCAACACGACCGCAATTAATTTCGTCGGTAATCCAAAGTCTTCTGATTTATAGCTTCCAAGTTTATGAATGGCCCTCCTCCCTATTGACTAAAGTTCAAAGTTGGATTTGGAATTTCTATTGGTCTAAAGACCCCGAATTCTCGTGGTGCTCCTCTTGTGGCATAGAAATCTTGCTGTCTTCCTAAAGAGCATGATGGTCTGGGTATTAAGGATCTTTTTGTCTTGAATAGATCTCTTCTATTGAAATGTTGTTGGGATTTGGTTTCTTCTAATTCTTTGGCAGTTGTTTTTATTCGAGCTCGTTTCCTTGCAAAAGGTTCTTTTACTCCTCAAATTTACCGAAAATCCTCTATTTGGTTGGGCCTTAAGAAGTTGTTGCCTCAAATCCTGGAGAATTCTCAATGGGTAATTGGCAATGGTTCTCAAATTGATTTTTGGACTGATAATTGGATGGGTGATTCTTTGATGCATTTGTTAGGCATTCTTCCCTCAGTTGCTTTCTCTATTCATGCTAAAGTTATTGATTTTATTAATAATTGTCGTTGGGATTTGCCTGTGAATTTTGGGCTTTTCTGCATTTGGCAGCTTTTATTGAGGCTATTGTTTTGCCTATTGAGTCGTGTGCTGATCATCTTATTTGGACTGGTGCTATGTCTGGTATTTTATCAGCGAAAGAAGCATATTTGTGGCTTTCTTCTCATAATTCCTTCATGCCTTGGAGTAAGGTAATTTGGGATGAAGCTCTTCAACCTAAGAAAAGCATGGTGGTTTGGAAAGCTTTACAGAGTCGGCTTCTTATGGATGAATTTCTCCAAAAGCGTGGTGTGTCCTTTGCTTCTTGTTGTTCTTTTTGTTCTCGTTCTAGTGAAACTGTTAACCACCTTTTTCTTACTTGTTCGTTGTCATGGACTTGTGGAAATGGTTGCTCCAGGTTTGTAACAAGTCTCCATGCACTTTAAACTCGATGGATAATCTTTTTGTTGGTCCTTTTCGCCCTCTTCCCGCAAACTATGGTTATTGGTAGCATGCAATTTGGGTGTAAGGTATTTGGCATCTAAGAAATCAAATTTGTTTTGATCACTTGATTGTTTACCTGGATTATCCCAACGATGGTTCCTTTCTCGTTTTAAGGAATCTGCAAATGGTTGCTTCGTTTCTAGTCATTCTCCTTCCTCTTTGCCGATATTCCAAGTTTTGGGTTTTTTTGCCTCTCACTCCGTCAGCTCCCAAGTTTATTCGTTTGTTGTGGTCTCCTCCCCTACTGGTTGGGTTAAAGTCAATATTGATGGTTCTTGTAAAGCTTCAAGCACATGTTTTGGGGGTGTTTTTCGAAATAGTGAAGGCAAGGTTCTTGGTGTTTTTGCTTCTAATCAAAACAAATCTAGCTCAACTGCAGCTGAAGTTCTTGCTTTTCTTGAGGCTATAAGAGTTGCTTGGGTGAGAGATTGGAAGCATGTTTGGCTCGAAACAAACTCTTCTTTGGTGGTTCATTTTTTCTCCTCTACCTCTTATTCCATTCCTTGGTTTTTGCATACGGAGTGGCATAATTGTTTGTGGCGCATTAAACAAATGAATTTTGTTTGCACTCATATTTATCGGGAAGGTAATTGTGTCGCAGATATGTTAGCAAATTTTGGTGCTGATAACCGTGCCTATTATTGGTGGGACTCCTTACCTTTGTGGGCTGCTACTGCTTATGCTAAAGATTTAGTGGGTTTTCCCATGTTTCGCTTTCGTTGATTTTGTGTGTCTAGTTTGATCCCATCCTTGGAGTGGTTTTGTTTGTGGGTTTTGGTTAGTTATCCCCCCGATGTTTAATTATTCTTTTTAATAAATTTCTCCTTGTTTCGTCAAGGTTTAAGGGGAAAAAAAACCTTATGATGGATATTTATAACATGATAGATGAAATATCAATTTTTCTATTTATATTATTTAAATTCTCGTATTGTGTACTCATATCCTAATTTTTAAAAATTTGCCATATCAACACACCCGTATCCGTACCCGTGCAACATAGGTGGAAATATTCAAATCTTTCATCATCATAACTTGAATTCCTTTTCTTTGAATGCAATTTTCAAGAGATAGAGAAAAAATTAGATAAAGAGGGTCACTTCAAAGAGAAAAAAAATTAGGAATTGTAGGGAGAGCATGCCCTACCTCCACTTAAATCAATCACGTTCTTTCTGTCAATCTGGTGCTAAGACAAGAACTCATTATGAAAAATAATGGCATGGCTCTTTGGTTTTGAATTTTTAGAAATTTTTTGTGGACACTAATCTTTGAGAAAAACAAAGAGAAAGGGAAAGGTTGGGTGTTTCCTTTGGTGGGGTTGTAAAATTTTGGATTTTAGGAAATGAAATTGGGATATAGAGTTTGTTCATGAAATGGGACGCGAGAGAAATTGGTGACTTAAAAATCCTTTTGTAATGATCAATCGGAATTAAAAGGATTTGAACTTGAGAGCTCTCCCAACACTAGAAAATTGGTCACTAATACGTTTTTGAGTTTGAAAATTAAATGAATAAGTTTGGGGGATAAATTGGTCACTGATCTGGTATGGTTTAAAATCAAACTAATTCTATTTATGGTTGAAACTTGAAATTATGAATAGTAGGGTTTACGGTATTTCAAGCATGCTTGGTTTCGACCATATAAAAAGCATGCTTGGTTTCGACCATATAAAAAACATGCTTGGTTGAAACTTGAAAATTGCTCACAAGCCATATCCTTTCAACAGGATACCATTTTGACATTATCCTGCGGCGAGTACGACTTGACATTTTGGGTGGCGAGTATGGTGTAGTGAGTATCGATGTTTGAAAAGTTGAAAACACGGGCTCGCAGTCCTAGCTAGGGCGCAAAATAGCAGCAGACAGACGTAGACCCAACGATATCTAGGATTTTCTATTTCCAATTTTGTCCCTATTCCCCAACAAACAACCCCCCAAAACAATGACAATATTTTATTCTAAACCCCAAAACTTGAGCAATATTTTATTATTCGCGCTCTCTGTGGTGTTGACCACTCGTACACTCTACAGTGCGCTTGGGGTGTACACTGTTGTCGTCCTCTGCTTATCCTATGCACACGCCACTGTCACTGACAAGCCAACGCGTCTTTTGCAGAGAAGAGACTGAGAGCCAGCAGAAAAAGAAAGGGCTTTTGGAATCCTTTGAAGAATGGCAGAGGAGGAGCCTTCTCGAGCTCCATGTTGCTTTCGATCTCTCGGGGTTCACAGCAGACGACGTGTCGTATGTATTGTTCTTGTTCTCTCGGCGCTTTTCGTGATCGTTATTACATCTTCAGCATCATCATCATCACCGTCAATCTGAATTTCTTCAGATTCAGTTGTTTTTCTCTGGTCATTGCGTGCAGATGTGTAGAAAAAGAGATACATTTTTATTGTACGACGTCGTCTTGCTGTGAAACGTTGCTTTCGTGGCTCTACATTTTTATTTTGCACACTTGTTGCTGTGCCTTTTTGTTTTTTACTCGCTTAAGGGGTCCAATTATTGTAAGGACACTGATTCCTCTTCTGGGTTTCTTGTTTTTCTGATGTGTTTTTGGGTCTTTGGTTTTGGTATTTCTGGAATGAAAAATTTGTGGTTTGGAGGAAATTTGATTGCTTTTTGGTGAAATGGGTTGTAAGAAAATGTTTTTTTTTGCTTGCATTGAAAATGGGGAACTGGGTTTGGTAGAGTTCATGAAGATTTGAGTTTCTGGGTTCACAAGCTCTCGACTTTGGCTGGAGATTGGAGTTTTCACTTTGAAAGAACGATTTTGAGGTGTTCTTTTGTGGTGGAGAAGAAAATGAATGATAGTACAGGGAAAACGGGGTCGTCTTTGGCAATAGCAGAGAATAAGACGCATAGGCCTGGTGGTTGTGTTGGCATTTTCTTCCAGCTCTTCGATTGGAACCGCAGGTTCGCCAAGAAGAAGCTCTTCTCCAAGAAATTGCTTCCTCCATGTTAGTCTTTTTCCATCACATAAAACTGCATTTCTCTTCTTTAGAAGCTTCACTTTTAACTGTTGTCTAATAAAAAAGGAAAAGAAAAAGATGTTTGATGACGTTTTTGTGTTATTTTGATATGTATCAGCTCGTGCAAAACAAGTTTCTAAGAAGTTTAGAGATGAGAAGATGCCCAATTCCAAGCTTCATTTGGTATGCCTATATGTTAACTTGTAGATTTAGATTCTTGCATTTCTTGTACTTGTCTTGGTGGGTTAAATTGTTTTAACACTATTTGTTGTTCGGCATGTTGTGTGTGTTTGAATGATAGATTGCTGATGAAAACAGTGGGGGTTTCCCAAATGTGAAGAAAAATGTGAATCGCAGCGTTGATTTTGAGCACAAGCATGAACTGCGAGCTCCAAGTTTGGTTGCTAGGCTAATGGGTCTTGAATCCATGCCTACCACACGTGAGAACCCCAAAAAAGCTTCATTTACTGATGCTTGTGACAGTGGAGAGAAGACATTTTTGGATAATCATAGTGGTTCTGATAGAGCAGAATTGAATTTGGAGACAGGAAATGCAAAGTCTGAATCAAGGCCTCAGAAGCTGCAGAAAATGGAACCGTATGAGAAAAGGGCAGTGACTAGGTTTGGAGCTGAGGCACTTCAAATTAAGAGTGTTTTGTCACGCTCGAGAAAACATCACCCAAAGCTTGCTTCCCCAGCGAAGAGTCCGAGGATCCCCTCTGGGAAGAATGCTTCCCGTACCTCTCGGTTGATTGATGCTGCTACTAGAATTTTGGAACCTGGACTGCAGTCTACAAATAGAGCAAAATGTGCCATCACTTACTCAAGTTCTTTTGATTATCCTTCTGTGGATGAGGTTTTGGCAGATGGAACAACAGTTCAATCACCAGAGATTTCTAGCCAAGCATGTTATAATGTTGGTGCATCCAATTCTCTGATGAGCCAGACTTCTTGCAAAAGCTGTGGTAATTTAGTAGATGTTGTGGATTTAAGATCAAAAGTGGAGGAACAACAACCTGCTTTCCCATCCTTGGCTTCAAATATTGTCAATGGCTCTTCGCTGATAGCGGAACAAATAAGCCCAAGTCATCCATGTCCTCCTTTGGGCAAGAAAAGGATGCAATTTTTGAGGGAACTCGGAACCAACCAGTATCAGTTTTTGGTCAAAAGGGAATGCGATCCCTTGGTGAACCTGTTACAGAAAGGAAGTCTATGCCTCCCGAAGGTCAAGCTTCATGGCAGTTGTCAAGTCAACCATGCAAGCCTCAGTGTGAAGAGGCATCTTCTATTACCTTAAAGAACAGGTCTCAGATGCAGCATCGTATGTCACTAGGAAGGGAAAGAATTCCACCCAGATCAAAACTAAATAATCTTGATAGCAGAAGAGCCTCATCGGCTGCAAATGCTGTCAGAGGGACCAAAGACTTTGTTGCCTTGAACCGGAATCTGAGCGGTCGCACCCAACCAAAGGTGCCTACCAAAGCAAATGATTCTAAGTTTGACACAGAGAGGAAAGCTTTTACTGGGAAAGATGATTACCCATCACAGCTTAGGACCACAATACGGAAGAGGAGGATGATCAATGTTAGTGGCCAAGTTGAAAGTAGTGGTTTTGTTAGTTCAACTTCCACAAGACAAGTGAATTATCAGTTCGATGTGCCAACTCGAAAGGGATTAGGAAATGGTGCTCGCTTGATGAACACCACTTCTCCTAAGAGTAAATTACCCAGTCAGAGAGAAGGTAACAGAGCTAATGGAAATAAGGACACTGATGTTATTTCATTCACGTTTAATTCCCCTATCAGGAACAAGACTGGAATCCCCACACAAATGGAGGGTCCAAGCATGGACAATGGCACAAAGCCATCTTTCCAGAAACCATTGTCCTTGAGTGGAGATGCTATTGGTGCCTTTCTGGAACAAAAGTTTAGAGAGCTTGCTTGTCAAGAAGATGATGACTTGGGAGCAGGTGCTTCATCCAAGAGGTCCACTTCTATGATTCTCCAAGAGCTAATATCTGCCTTGACTGCCGATCATTCTCTTTTTCATGATGGACGCTTGGCCAGTGCAGATATAGCATCACCTGTAAGTTCTCTTTGTTGTTTTTATTGACATAATCCCAACTGTAACAACTGTTTATACCAAAAATCATATGTTGAAAGTGTGACTACTGAACTGCTTAGAATATATTTGACTATTTTGAGAGAATAGTGTTTCTAAATTTCGGGTTTTACTGACATCGTAATGAAACTGGAGGACCTTAAATAGAAAATAACTTCACTATTATAGTTTTAGATTTCACTGTTTCTGTATTTGATAACTGCTTTGTTGGCCTATTTCTCATATTATGATTAAAACTATTTGGTTCTAGTATTTTTCTAATATGATGGGTTTTAGGAATTGCGTCTTAGAGGTATGATTGTAGCTCTCAATATGGAACAGACAGTACTAGGTTAATTATAGTAATATGTGATGTGACACATTACCTGTCAATCAGAGTGGGCCAATACATCTCTCATGGATATCTTTGTTTTTTTCTTTAAAAAAGTTATTTTAACATAACCCCTCCATATCTATTTTATATTCTTGTGTATCCACCGCATCTTCCTTGTATATGCATGTTGTATCCAAAAGTCAAACTTTGCAATAAGTCAGCTAGATACAGATCTGGAATGTCTGATATGTATGGAGGTGTTTTGGGGGCCTATTAGTATTGGATTGGATACTACATGCCTGAAACTTTTGTAGTATATGTGCTTCATAGCCAATCAACTCAATTCTCCAATCAAAACTATCTTATCATTTCCCATAAGGTTATTAGAGTGGGATGGACGAGGTAGAGACTCGCTTTTTTGAGTGTTTTATTAAAATCAAGTTTTCTATAAGAATAAAGGATGAATTGAGTCTGTCATGGAAAAGGAACAGGAAGTGAACTTGTTTAGTGGAGGTGTGATGTCAGAGGTAAGACCAATCGGTGCGAAATGAGGAAAGAATCAATGTGAAATGGCCTTGGGATAGAGGTTAATGGACTGTGGGACTCCAAACCCCGGCTGGAGTTTGAGGTTTTGCACCCGTGTTGTTGATCAACTGGTGAGGGTGAAAAACGTTTAACATGTTATTTGCTTCGCCTGAAGCCATATCTCTTAAAGTATCTGCTTAAATGTCTTAGATGTTAATGCTCGATTAGCATTGTCATACAAATTTAGTTGTTTATATTGTCCTTTTTTCCCATCATTATGTTCTGTTGGAAAATGGGAATTATTGTCAATCTCTGTTAACTTGCCTGTGTTGTGGCTAACTTGCACATATTACTTTTGTTGTTTTTATTAACTTCAGATTTGTCTTGTGTTTGACAAAATGGTGCTCCGGTACACATTTCTGGACTCATTTCTTGATACATGTCTTGTGTTCCTCCTCAGGCTCAAAGAAAGACAGATAGGTCAGTTGGAATCTTTCATCATGGTGATAGTCTGAGCCCTGGGTCTGTTCTTGAAGCTTCATTTTCTTCTAGTAGTCTGGATGATAGCTCAGGTAATAATAGTAGAAATTGCAAGGCAAAAACAGATACATTATTTACTTTGCTAAAATCTGCTACATAATTTCTACTGTCTAGATGTCCTTTAACCCTCTAAATGTGACTTCTTTTTTCAATCTGATAAGATCCTCCAAATGTGATTTACATATTTTTCATGCTTCTGGTTCCAGGGCATAGGTCCTTCTACCCTCACTCTATGGATTACTCTGATGATCAGTTGCAATTGGGACATTATGGTGATTTGATAGACTCTGCCACTTCAGTGGACAGAAAGAAGACTGGTAGTGAGATGATGACCGCTCTTGTCAATAATGTATCTAGGATATTACATAGCATCAATGCTGGTGGGGAAAGATTGAGAGGAGACAAGCTCACCCATGCAAATGAAGTTATCTTGAAAGCTGAACTATTGTTTGGAGATGTGACTCAGCATAAAATGGATGTAATGAAAGGTCTTTTCATCAGTCCCTTGCTTCTTGACTTGGAAACTATTGCCAGCAGCATGATGAAAAATTTTGATGTGTTAAGTAGTTCGTGGGACACCAAAGAGGGAACTAAAATCAGCGAGTTCCTTTTTGATTGTGTCATAGAGCATTTAGACTCAAAATATGGTCAATACTGTAACTCCGGATTCAGATTTTGGGAAAAATTGCCTTTATGCATGAACCGTAAGTTGATGATTCAAGAGGTTGAAGACGAGATGCAAAAGTGGACAGATTTGGCTGGAATGATTCCTGATGAGATGATAGAATGGGATATGAATCATGCCCTGGGGAAGTGGACTGATTTCAATATTGAAGCATTTGAGGCCGGTTCTGAAATTGACGGGGACATTCTTCAAAATTTGGTTAACGAAGTTGTGGTAGATCTCTGTGAGTGCAGGCTGGGTTCCTTGTGAATTTCATGTAGCCTGACCCTTTTTGAGTTCCTAATATCAGCCATGCTACATGCATGTTTGTTAAACCAAGCAAAAATTGTATTCTTTTGTACAAATCAATGGAAGGTTTAGTTCAATATTAAGTTATTGGATGCTGTGGATGAGCATTGTGGGTATATTTTGTTTCTTGAATGTGATTGGTCTTAAAATATGCAAAACAGTTCGAAACAAAAATTCTGTGTTTTTGCCTTAGGTCTGCCTCCTTTGGGGTTGATGCTGTGTATTCTGTAGTTTTTTTTTTCCTGCAATTGGTGCAATATGAAAAGATAATCAAATTTGTACCACTCTGAGTTGATGATCATCTTAAATCAGACACAATTTGTAGTAATTAGTTTTTTAAAAAAAACAATGAGTTGGTAAATTAAGCATTTTTATTGACATCAAAATCAAAAGGGGAAAATTTTGAAATTGGCTAAAGAATGAAAGATTTATGTATAACATGGGGCATGATGCCAAATACATCCAAGAGTTGGAACAATTGATAGCATATTCCTTTTAAACTCTCAAACCCAAATACTAGTTACATCCAGAGCTTTACAATACATCAAATTCTCAGGCAAACAAAAGAATTTGCACCCACTCTGACTCGATGATCATCTTCGGTTGGAACAGAATTTGCAGAACTTAGTAAAAGAATCATATACTAAAACTCTCAAACTCATATACTAGTTAGTTACATCAAAAGAGCTTTACAATCCATCAAAAAAACCCAAAAGAATTCTCAGTGGTAATCAATCACTCAGCCAAACCATGAACCAAAAGAATTTCATATTAATAAGAAATGAACTAAAAATTAAAACTAACGAAAAATAATAATAATGTAATTAAAAAAAAAAAAAAAAAAAAAAAAAAAAAAAAAAAAAAAAAGAAAGTAGGCAGCAAGCAGCAAACTTTGGAAATCAAAACTGCCTGTACCCCAAAACAGTCTTGGGAATTGCTCTGCCATTCCCATTCCTCCCTCCCCTGTTTTCGCCGCTAATAGCATTAGCAGCAGCAGAAGACAAACCCTTCAATTCCTCCATACTCGCATAGCTCTTCCTTGCCATCAACCCTCCGCCATTGTTGTACCTCTTCTCCCCTGCGCTCGCCGACTTACTCCCTCTCGAATTGGACAAAACCCCATTCGCTTTCGACCAGGACTTCGCCGGCGGGGTCATCTCAAGCGTGGACGGAAGCCTTGTTGGTGGCTTGCGGTTCTCTTTTCTCAACACAGCGGAGAAATCAGGCACTGATTGAGCCACAGCAGAGGACCCTTTACGCGACTTGGTCGTACTGGTCTGAAATTTGACTTGTTTCTTCAACGGGCTCGGTTTCAATTCGGGTTCTTCAGCCTCTTCCGGCCTCAGATGCTTCCTTCGCAGCTTTGCTTCTCTGAGCTCCGCGTAGGCTTTGTATCTGGGTCCTCTCTCCATGATGCTCTCTGTGATGAGCCGCAGAGGGACTGGCTCTTGGTCTGGTTGTGGGTTCTGGGAGAGAATGAGGGAGATGGGGTCGAGGGCTTGGAAGTGATATTGGAAAGCAGGGTTTGGTTGATGATGGGTTTGTTGCAGAGAGCCGTTAGTCGCTGCCATTGTTGATGAATTTGAGGTCGGGCTGTGTGCAGATATCTTGGATTTTGGTGGATTTAATAATGGCTTCTGTAGTTTCCTCTTGCGCTTTTACTTACTTTGCAATTAAAGATTAAAGATTTTGGATTTCCAACGGTCGAAAATAGGAAAGAGACGGAGACTATTTAAGCCTTTTTGCTCCCTTGTCCCCCTTTTTCTTGCTTCCAAGTCCAACGTTCTGATTTTAAGTCGGTCCTTTTTTAAAAATAAAAAAGGATATTGAATCACTCTGGATTCCATATCAACTGCGTGATTTGACTGGTATTTTCATGATGGTTCTTCAGAGCCGTCTTTTTTTTTTCCTTTTTTTTTTTCCTCTCATCTCATCTGACTTTCTAGGATCACTTCTTTTTTTTCTTTTTTTTTAAAGAGTACTAATTACTTCTCATCTTACCTTCCCCTTTTACCTTACAATTTTTTTTCTTAAATAATGCTAGTTACCTTTTTTTCTTGGCCTTCCTCTTTTGACCTGTCACATTTTTTTTTCTTAAAGAATGCTGGTTATCTTCTTCTTTTTGTTTTCCTGATTCAGTTTATGTTACGTTACGTGTATTCCACTCACACATAAATTTATGCATTTTATGTGTTCAAAAAAAGTTTATTCTCTTTACAAACAAAATATTAATATTTTGCAGTAAATACATAAATTTCCATGTGAGTATAATACACGTAATACAAACTGAATAAAAAAGACAAGTTTGTGCATAAGATTTGTCCAAAAAAGACTTTTCGGAAGGTGCCACGACTCAACATAGCTCAATAAAGGGAGGTTTTTATCTTAAAGAACATTTTTGTTGTGTAATTGACAAAGCTTCTAACAAAGGCGGCCATTTCAAAGTCCTCCACTTGGAGGTCTGCCTCTATGTGACAAAATTAGAAGGAATGCATAAAGGATCGGGTAAAATTAATCATAAATTTAACCCATTGTGTCAAATTTCACAAAAATAAAAATAAAAAACTGTTCTTACTTTGAGTATAATGTTGAGCTTGTTTGGATAGTTTAAATTTGGTAGTAACATCTTCACTTGGGGATTTCATTATATGGGATTGATAGCATTTAGGGCAATTTTCAATTCCTCGATCTATTCAGTCTGATGTAGAATAATCAAATTTCTATTAATTTTTCAACCCAATTAGCAGCTTCATTCCATAGTCTGATCCACATTAACACTGCAATTATCATAACTTAACATTTGATTTGTAGATGCCAACGAGGTCTAGTCCAGAGGACTTGTAGACTAGTGGTCTTAGGTTCGAACTCTCATGGCACCGTGTAGTGTGTATGAGAGAAACCCCCTTTTTCCTGTAATTTAAACTATCGCTTGTAATAAAAAAAAACATTTGATATGTAAATCATGAAGCAAAGTATAGAGATCAAGATATCCAGCTTGTTATAAATCAGCTTTGTATTTGGTAATAGTAGCTTCGTTCAAAAGGAAGACTAGTACAAAGGAAGAGAGACAATAGATACATCAGAAATGCTCTATGAGCAACTTACTCCTTTGTCCAAATTACACTTTGTGATATTTGTATTTCTGCCTCAAATTAAAACTAGTGATACTCTGGTCAAATCCATTCAGCACCAGGGTCCTTACAGCCTCAACCCCTTGATCCAGTGCTGCATCAATCTGTCCAGATGACAGATAACAGTCAAAATTAAGATATTACGGCTTCAAATTCACACCCATTGAAATGAACAGGCACCGTAATTGTGTGTTATGGCATGCATGCAAGCGATTCTTTGGGGACCAATACAGTCATCAAAGAATTTCCAGAGACCAGGGGTCAGAACCATTTTGAATGACTAAAACCGTGAACTCTTTTAGTTTTATTTTACAAGTCCTTCAAAAAGTTTAGCCTGCATCACTAAAAGTTGAGCATTCATGATTTTTGAGGAATTTCGTATTCATACAACAGAGCTCATGATTATACATGATATCGATACGTAGGGCCCAACCAAATATTTGTTTTGCTCATTATTCATAGTCACCAGGGCAGATGTGTAATGGCCTGTCAAAAACAGAGCTCAGGCAACACACCAAAAACCAACTAGATGCAGAGAATATATTTTTATCGGAACTCAGCTAATCATGTGCAACCACATCAAAAATGTTGAGACCTCACATACCTGATGTCTCTCTACTGTACTGAACCTCTGTAGAAGATAGGCTTTCATGTCCATAGTTCCAGGCGGATTTCCAATACCTGCAAATATATTTTTTCTCCTTTTATTTTCCAATTAAGGCGAGCATAGAACTTTGGTTTGAGACAAACCTAATTATTGCAAAAAATAGTACTCAATAAACAAACCTATACACAACCGAGGAAATTCGCGGCAACCGTCCAGATGGCCCATTACACTCTTCACACTGTAACAAGAAAACAATTATGAACAATTTGAGATGAGAGAAGTGAGGAAAAGCAGGCAATTTTTTTCAACCAATTTCGTATTGCCTGATATGGAGTAGAGGTAGCAGAATTTTTCATGAACATGTTAAAAGGCAATGATATTAAGACTGTTTGCAATATTTTTCCTCTTGTTTTCCCCAATGTTGGACCACACAAGGGGGAGCAGTCCTCCCTTCCATGAAACCCCTCCTCTCTGCAGGGGTTCAACTAGAGGTCAAAAGCCAATACCTTTTCAATAATGTACAGATCCAATTAATTTTAACTGGGGTTTCTGGATTATAAAAAAGAGTTGGAACTCATTGTTGAATGTTATGGTATTGAAACTTATGGTGCAAATTTGTCCTTTTGTGTGACATTATATATGTTCTCGATTTGTTTTGCTCCTCTTCAACCTTCTCAGTTGTGTTGGTTTCTTCATATTACATTTATGTGCTTTTTTTCATTCACTTCAAATGATAACCAGCTGCATTCACCACTCTTCTTAACCGACAAACGTGTACATTGATAACTATATGAATAAACCCTTCCAAACCAAACTCACAAACTAGCCAAAACAATATTTCTTGAAGTACCTATCACAGCCCCATACCAGCCACAAGTAGTTCTATTTATAGCTTTTTTGCCTCCTCAAACCATACCTTTACCCTGCACCCACTGCAACATTGATTCTCCACACTAACACTTCAGAAATAATAGGTTATACAGTCAGGTTGGATTGATATGCTCGAGCGGAAAAACAGATGAAGTTGCAACAAATCCTAAATAAATTGGACTTTTACTATAAACCAATACAAACTGAATCTGATTGACAAAACCCAGTCATATTGGGCAGGATTGTCTGGGTTGTTCGATTTGACAGTATGATGCCCACCCTTACTTTTGGTAATTTTTATCTCTGTGAGTCAACTTTATTTTCAAACCTCACCTATTTGGTGGACAAATTTTAAGAGAAACAAATATTTTCTCATATTGTCTTCTCTTTTCCACTCTTATTGTTAAACAATGTACTGGAAAGTAATAGAATTCAACCATTTTCTATTCTTTTCCTTTCTTCCTGGGTAAACCAAACATTGAGAATCGGGGAAAGAAAACATAATTCAAAATTTCCATTCAAAAATCAGTTGTTTCTTTAATTTCTAGTTCAGAATCTTTAGATAAGAAAAAATATATACGAAAAGTAGTTTCTTCTCCGATTCACTCTCTACTCAGCCAACGGTAAGAACCCCAAACCCCTTGCTTTACTTCTACTCATGACATCACCACTAATACAACTCTAATTGAAAGCACAGAACCAGAGGGCTATACAGAAAGGATCACACATGTAAATGTGTCTTCAAGGGTACAGATTGCAAAAAATAAAAAAAGAGAAACAATATGACTTTAAGACTTTAGGAAGGAAAACATGCAGTTAATTTAGCAGCCCTTGACAGACATCAATTATACTGTGGAAAATAAACTTGCTAAAGAAGCCACCTCATTTGGTAGATTGTTAGGTTTAGAATGCTCAAATCTAAGTCAGAGATTAGTTAGATAAACAATATTAGTATTAAAACATATTTCTTCAAAAACATAGGAAAGTGATTGATAAATGTTCACGTGAATTCAGTTAATATTCAAACATACCCATTGTGATATCCATGTCCTCCTTTTGGCTGAATCCTCAGAACACCATTTGGTAAGCTCATCTCATCATAAACCTACAAAAAAGTTCATGTCTCTGATAAATGTAATGTGACATAGAACTTGATGGTTATTTTGAAGAAAGGCATTTATTATCTTGTAAAGCCTACATCAAGAAACAAAAATACATACCAGTAAAATATGACGTAGGGGTACTTGATAATATGCCGCAAGTGGTCCAACCTTAAGAATAACAAAAGGAGAATAAGTGACAGAAATTCCATCTCAAGGTAGCGAAATCACATTCACACCCTTTATTCAACTAAAGGAAAGGAGAGGTATACAATAATGCTCATGGATTATGTAAGAGCATCCATTAACAAAAAAATAAAGCAGAGTATTGATGGAAATCGGCAAATCACATTGTCACATTATTCCACTTTGCCAACTATCAATTGATCACAATGTTAACTTATACATAAGGTTTATTCAGCTAGAAAATTCAATCAATTATCTGACTATGCACCACAAGTTGTCCATGACTAAACATATGATTTGAAAATTTCCAACATGGAAAGATTTGTGATTGTTGCCATAAAATGAGCACCGCTTAGTTCATAGCCAGGTTAAACTCTGTGAGCAGATGCTAACAATTGTAATCATTTTCGGAATAGAACACTATGGAGCTAATTAGTCATTATTACTTTTACACATCCCTGGGAATTAAATGGTATTTCTTGAGTATACGGCTCTTCCATCAATGACCTATTATGGCTTTGAGGAAAATAGGAATAATAATACTAAATGAGGGATCATTTTCAAGTTTGCTTGAACACTTTCATCAAGTGTAACAGAAGTTTAAATAATAGATTCTCACTCTAATGGTATGTCATGTAATCACTAATAGGAAATTATCATATGTATTATATAGAGAA